GTAAGCATCTCAAGTTTTGTATTACAGAATTGTGAGGTCTTCGGGTAATTTAGCCAGTATTAATTAGAAGATATGCCAGAATGCTACCAACTGCAAGATTATTTCCATGCTTCGGAAATATTTATTTTGATCCTTCTGCCATGTCTATGTACAAGTATTAGCATATTTTTTAATCCTTATAGCTGATTACGGTTGTAATATATGTTCATAGTTTTTGTTTGAGCCACATTCTTTCAAGAAATACATTTTTAAACAATGATTTGACATCATTTTAACGACACATTCTTCAATAAAATAATATTACACGCAAATCCAAAACTTTTTTTTTATTTTTTAACTACACATTTCCCATCGATACACTATTCAAAAATACATTTTTATGAAAATAATGTGGCTCAAACAAGGGCATAATATGTTTACAAACACGTACACATGATAGGGTGAGATGATTGGGTCAAAAAAAAAATTTTAAAAAAATAAATGAAATTTTCCACTCTCTTTTTGACACCTCATGTGTATGTAAGCCCTAATGTACAAGTAGCCTCATGCAGCTCATTATATCCATATTGCAGAAGCATGGAAAGAAAGCTAACATTTCCTTATCTCTCTTTGATGTATTTTTCTAGTTTGGCGAAAATAATTAGACAATGAATGATCTGGCTAATGCTTTGTTTTAAGACCTTTAATTTTTATTTTTTTTCGATAATATCTTTCTTGTCTTTACATGTTCAATTGTATATTGAATGCTTCTTTCAGATCAGATTTTGTTTTCTCGGTGTACTTGTCAGAAATCTACTTCTGTCAACATAATTTCAATCATTTTTGCTGTATTTCTGAAGCATGGAAAGAAAATGACGTCTTCCTTCTTTGTATATTGCATTTATCAAGTTTTAGTTTGGTGAAGTACCTAGGTTGGAATAGAGGATCTGGGTAGTGCTTGGTCTATAACTTTCTTTTTTCCACTTGTTTGATATTATCTTTCACCTTCATATGTTTTTACTCATTAATTGATTACTTCTTGAACATGTTCGTTTTCTCCACTTAATCTGCTTATTAGAAATATACTTTTGTCACCATCATTAAATCCTGAGATGTGTAGAATCTTCAGCATGGTTTGTCTTTCTTGATTCAGGTAATGGATCGTTATGTGGATCCATTGGTATCCCATTTGAAGGCAATGCTAAACTATCGCAAGTTCAAGAAGGGAAATAAAGCAGAAGTTGATGAGCTCCTAAGGATTGAGAAATCTGAGTACCCAATGAGGATCGTGTATTGCTTTGGGATATCCCATGAACATCCTGGCACATTCATACTGACTTATATACGTAGTTCAAATCCACATCATGAGTACATAGGTCTGTATCCAAAGGGATTTAAGTTCCGAAAAAGGATGTTTGAGGACATTGATCGTCTTGTGGCATATTTTCAGAGACACATAGATGATCCACATGAGTCACCATCAATTCGATCAGTTGCTGCTATGGTGCCAATGAGAAGTCCTGCAACCGGGGACTCATCAGGGTTTGGCAGTGGGTGGAGTGGTTCAGGCAATGATGGTGGACGGAGAGGAAGCCAGTCTTCAGACAGAGATAGAACTCCGGGTTCTAGAACAGGTAAGCTAGAAGAACTTCACTTCATGCCTGCGGCGCTATGCCTAAATGATTTTCAATGTAAATTACTGTAAGGTCATTTCCTTTTCACAGGTCCTTAAGTGATTAGTTGTGTGACTTGTGTCATCCTGCCTGATATGTTATATTATGCTGACTTACAACTACTATTACTAGACTTTGTTAATGCTTTGGTGCTGGTAAAACTCTTAGCATACTTTGCCTTGTAGCTTAATATGTAGTCGATCCTTGATGTGGACAAGACTGGTAAACTTGATGGGTTTTCATATGATTCCCTTCTTTCCCAACTCCACATTCTGCACAGTTAATTGAAGAGGTTAATTGAGTCCCACTAGAAAACCTGACCACCAATTCTCGACACATAAGAGGGGGATGTGGTTTTGGATAGTTATAGGTAAAGGGAGTATCATCTTACAACTTTACTGCTGCAATGATTTGTTACAAATCTAACTCCTTGTCACACGGGACCTTATATACTAGTTTCTCCTAAAGTCATGTTTGAAAGTGATTGATTTTTCTTATTTATTCTTTTGAACTTATGAATTATACATTTCCTTTTTTTCATCTCTAGCTAGATTGATAACCTCTGAGGAATTTATAGTTGGAAGGAACCTATAGATTTCAGGTTGAAATGTGTCCAGATGACTGGCTTGAGGTGGGTTTTGATTGCAAGTTGCAACAGAGGCTGAAGGCCTGTGTTTTGTGAATTGGGGAGTGGCCGAGAAGGCAGGAGTGTTTAAGGGATGGGGTTGGAGGTCTTGTGGTGGAGAGGTTGAGAGAGAGTGCTAGAGTTGTGGTTTATAAAATTTGAAATGGTGCCTACAGTTGTTTCAGTTTTTCCAAGAATTATCTTTGTTTTGTTGAACTGATTTATCACTAATTTTGTCCTCCTATGTTTTAATCCATCTATATTTGTTTGGTTATAGGTAGAGGTGATTATAGAAATGGTGGCGACCAGGACGGGCATCCAAGTGGAGCACCCAGACCATATGGTGGGCGCGGACGTGGACGTGGGCGTGGTCGAGGTGGCAGAGGCAACGAGAGGCAGGATACAGACCGTGGCTCACAAAAGTGGGGTTCTAAGGATGGTGATGATGCTGGTGGATGGGGTAGTTTTCCTGGAGCAAAAGTTCAGAATTCACCAGGTCGGGAAGCTTTCCCTGGTAGCTGGGGTGGCAGCGCTTCAGATGATGCTGCGGAGACAGGTGGTGGAAATTCTGGATGGGGTGGCAGCAAAAAGAGTTCCGGCGGCTGGTGAATGTGATGCCCAAGTATATCTATGGATTTAAGCTTTGAATTGCTGGTGGCTGAGCTAATTAATTTTGTAATTCCATTGTTTAGACTGTGTTATATTTTCCATTGCTTTGTATGCAACACCCACTTCTTTAATTATTTCAATGCACTATGATAGTTTTTTGGTCGCTCGTATCGTTTATATTACTGTAACGATATCATGCTCGCGGAGTAGCCTACTTAAGCTCTCAATATTTTGACGTCGACTCATGCCAATGGTATGTTTGAAAGCACTATTCATAATTGAGGAAAATTTTGAGGAAGACAAACATTGAAGGCGTGGATGGGGAAGAACAAAAGTTAAATTTTGTTTCACGTTTCTCTTATTTAGACCTTAAATAGCTTTTGACAAAAGTTGATACAAATTGTGGATGTCATGAAATGTGCGGTTGAATGAGTTTTAGAAAATGGGTACTAAGCAAGAACTTAATATAGTTGTCTAGTATGAGTAGCGAACATGTCCTAACTCCTAGTATGAGTATGTACTGGTGTCATGTTTCTTTTTCAGCAAAAGGCAAAATTTAGTAGACAGGAGAACGTTGATAGACCTAGAACAATTGAGAAGCTCGTTCTGTTGGAATATATTCAGTTAGGGCCAGGGTATTTTGGAGAATTGGGAGAGATAGGTTGTTTATAAATACATCGAGGGGGTGATTTGGGAGAGGCATTCAGGGAAAATATGGGGAGAGACCGGGCCTCTCGAAAGCCTTGGATTTGTTTTTTCAATTGCTGTTTTCATTTCATCATTTCATCTACCGTTGTAATCTCTTTTAACAATTCAATAAACAATTTATTTCATCACTCCTTCTCTTCTATAATCCCCCAACGAAATGATCAGCCATCGGGATTCTATCAACAGGATTAATTAACAAAAAAAAAATAATAATAATAAACAAAATCGACTATCAAGAACAACAAACAGAGGTATGAAATTCTTGATGCTAGTAATTAATTTTGAAGGTAGATGTGCTTAGATTAGGATACATTGTCCATTAGTTGGAATGTTAATCAACTCGATGACAACTAGAACTTGGATAAGAATTCTGAATTCCCTTGCGGTCAATTTCTTGTTCATTCATAGCTTCTTGAAATTAGTAGTTGCATACGTTTTTCTGCATCCATTACTAAATGAGGGCTCCATCAAAAAGGACAAAAAAGAATACAAGAAACCATCGCTCAAGACATTTACTAGGTAGCAAAAAAATATAATTGCCTTCACAAGAAAATACAAACTTTTGAGGGCATTTGTCTCGGATACAAGAGAAAATTCAACTTGAAGCTAAGCATGAAGAAATAGGACCAAACAACACTCGGGCATAGAAATTACAGTTGAAACCATATCAACTTACCAATGCTTTCACTTGTCAAGGTAATTTTTCTTAGTCATAATCACTAGCCAAAGTTATGGACTTGTCCCATATTGCAAACTTCCAAAATTTGAAACAAATTTCGGAAAGATTGATGGACAACGTAGAAATCAACAAAAGAACTCCATAGAACTCTCAAAATATTTGTCCTAACAAGCTTGAGGGTTCCTCAATATTCAAAACCCAACTCTTTCAAAATTGGAAGGTACATTCTGAGTTTCAGTTTCAAGTAACGTTTAGCTCTTTTGATTGCATTTTGTCCCTTTGAAATTTTTTCAGTAGAACTCGAGTATGTGTTTAGCTATGGTTATGTATATAAAATAAACATTATAGAGGTTTTTGGACTGCCTAATTCTTTTATATTAGCTTTTCTGCTTGCTAAGATCCACATTTGTAGCTGTTTTTGGCCAAAAAAGGGGGTTTTGCTGTTTGATAGAAACAATGCTTTTACGCAGACAAATATCTCTTCTTTTCGCAACAAGTTGAATTTCTTTTAGCCCTTTTTCTGATACATATAGAGTCGGCTATGTGGATTCTTTTAGACACTACGTTCGGTTCATTGCTAAATCAACTGGAAAATAAAAAAGAAAGACGCATGGAATATGACAGAATTCTTATTATTTTAAAGTTATTTTGATTTCATGTGCAAAATCGCCGTTGAATCATGAATCTTTTGTTTTTGAAGGTGCAATTCATTATCCAGTTGTAAACAATGTCTACAAGTAATCAGAAGGTGCTAATTATACAAGATGCATCGAAAGAACTATGTGCAGTTTCCATCAGAGAAGCCCTCCGCAGCTTGTCACTTACTCCTGGAGCCAAAGTCAAGCTTCTTGGAATTATACCGGCATTCAGGACCGCCCACAGATTTTATCCTTTGCGTTGTGGACTTGGTATGAACTCTTGGATTTGTCGCAAATAAGTCATGGGCGTATGATTATAATCATCTATGATGCATCGACACGGACATGATACATGTCAGATACGTCGACACGCGTTTTTTCAAAAAAGTACTGATATGGAACATCGTCAACATGTTGATTAAATTCTGTATATTTCTTCATTTATGTAGTATAAGATTTTGTACTTGGTATTAATTTTTCTTGTTGAAATCTTTTAAATATAAGTGCATATTTATTATTCACTAATAACTTTGAGATAAGCATATATATTTCTAATAAAAAAAGAAAAATGATCATGGTAGAATGTTCAAGGAGTGTCAGGTATGACACATCTCGAATACAGACACGCTACCCTGGTTAAAGTGTTTGTGCAACAGAGATAATCATGATGCGTCATTTTTAAATCTCTTCTGATGCATTTGTGTGCGAGCGATCATTGTTGCAAAGTTGCAGTAAATTTTTCGTTGATTTTGTTTACTGATGCTGTTTTCGAATATGTTCATGGTTTTCTCTAGGACTCAAAAGCAGGTTACAATCGAGTGTAACGATTAATAAGAAAAAGGAAGACATCGAACAGCAAGTACAACAGATGATGGATGAATATTCAAGATGTTCACATATTGCAAGGATTTGGAGGCAGGCTGAAATACAAAAGGTCATCAGTGTATATAATTTTTCAAGCATGCGCATAGGAAATTGTAGTGTTCCATCTACTACTTGTTAATCAAATATCCCCATTCACAGGTCGGAGATTTCCTCATCTGGCTAAGTTTTCATTTATTAATGTATATGTAGGTTGGATTCGAGATAGCAGTTGAGGCAGGGTCGCTAAAAGAGGTTGCCGTGGATTATGCCAAGAGCTATGGGGCTACACACGTGATCCTTCCAAGGTATACTGTAGTTTGAGCCTCTGTAGATGGTACAGAAGAAGTGTATGATAAAGCCAATCCATATTAATCATCATCACCAATAATATGATCAAGAAATTTAAATTTTTAATTCCTGCCAAAAGTTTGATCAATTTACTTGCGATTTGCTTCTAGCTCTTTGTTTCAGATCCAACTCATACTTGGTCTCTTCCAACTTGATTCCCACAGGAACCTCAAGAAAAATAAGAAATATTTCATGGACAACCTATCTTGTTCAATGTATAGGATGAAAAGAGATAGTAGTGTGGAGACCGTGAGAGGAGTTGAGGCTGCTGAAGTTAGTGTATTGTCCTCAGGCAGACATTTCAAGTCAGAATCTTGTAAGTGAATAAGGTCCATATACTGTCATATATGCTTCAGAGAATTGATAAACAGAAAGTTCACTCATTTCGATGTGCAGGCAAACAACGAGAAGAGATATTTGAAAATTCTGCCTGTTCAGTGTGCATGAACAGAAGGACAAGGATTGGAGGACAAACAAGAGAATTCACATATGCTGAGTTGCATTTGGCGACAAATGGCTTTTCCAAGGAAAATTTGTTATCTGTTAGGGGAAAGAAAATCTTTAGAGGGCAACTTAATGATCTGCAACAAATTATGATAAGAGAATACCATTTGAAAACCATTAAAGAGAAGGATTTTAAGGCAGAGGTTCAGACCCTTGGGAAATTCAGACACGATAATGTGGCCATGCTCTTAGGATCATTTTCAAAAGGAACGCATAGGTTGCTAATCTATGAATTTATCTGCAATGGATCTCTGAGCAAACATCTATCAGGTAAAGGCACCACCGAACCACCTCAGGTCTTCATTAAAAGCTTAAGCTTTTAAAGAACGAACACGTTAATCTAGTACTTGTTTATGCAGACAAAAGCAGGGAATTGACATGGGACAGAAGAATGAACATAGCCGAAGGGGCAGCTAAAGGTTTGGAATATTTGCATGGAAAACAGATTTATGGAAGTGTGAGGGCACGTAACATACTCATTACACATGATTACCAACCACGGGTAAATTTAATTTGGCAATCGGATTTTGGATCGTATTAAATTGCTTTTCATGAAAAATCAATGTCTCTTATGCTGGAATTTTTGTCACATGACTCAGCTGTCGTATTTCGGGCTTGCTAGAAATCAATATGAAGACACGTATCAATCTTCTGAAACCCCGGTGCTAAAGACATTTGACTACTTGCCACCAGAATATGAAGGAACTGGATTAGACTTGAGCAAAGCAGATGTGTATTCCTTTGGGGTTGTTCTTCTTGAACTGATCACTGGTCGAAAGACAGTTGAAGATACAGATGGCCAAAGCTTCTTGAGATGGGTAATAACTTTTACATTCTTAATTTGAAGACAATTATTCAAAATCATAGAGTGATCTCATTTCAATTCTTGGCAGGCAAGATCATCTCTGAGACAGAAGAAGTACATGGAATTGATTGACCCTGTAGTACAGGACAGTGTTGATCTTTTCCAGCTATATTGGATTGTTCGTGTTGCTGATAAATGTCTTAGCTGGGATCCCAATAGTCGACCTTCGATAAATAAGGTGATATCTCACTTCAAGCGAACTCAAGAGAAGAATGCTTATTCACTTTCTGAAAATTTTGCATTTTACTTGATGATTATTTTCTTGGATGAACTTACTACAGCTGGTGAAGGACCTGGCATGCATAGTTAACCATTGTGGTGCTGAAGACTTCTCTCTTACTGAATCTGAACTAATGGCTGCGAAGGTTAGGTAGTCGAATGTAAACCGGCTGGCTATAAGTAGTTTTCGAACATTGATTATGTTGTACTGACTTTTTTTGTTCGAAACTGCTATTCAGATATGGCAATCATGTAATTATTCTTTTACATAAGACTGAACATATTTGAAAATTTTGATTAAACTGGATCATGTTCAGCCTTACTTTTGTGTGGTGATTCTAAAACTCTTAATGTAATACCTTAATTAACTAATTGGGTCAAACCTAGAAGTTGAGTCAAATATGTCATCCATTTAAAAAAAAAAGAAGAAGAAAAAAACTACTTAAAAAATTAAAAATGAAAAAGTCAAGCGGTGGAATTGACAAATTAGGCACGCTAGAGCTCCATTTTTACTAATAATAATGTATTTTTAACTAGTAAATTAATGCAAAAATAAGAAAAAATTTTGAATTTGTATGTAATATAATTTCAATAAAAAATATGTAATCGAAAAGAATAGAGAAAAATGTATTTTAAAAATAATTGATATTAAACAAGGGCATGTTTACCCAAATCCATTCAATTTTCCATTGGAATACAAATCCATTTTACACGAGAGGGGGGAAGAAGAAGAAAATAAAATAAAAAAATAAGAGGAAAGGTTGCCGACATGATTTAGTAATAAGTGGTTTATAGTATTAAGTTTGAATTTACTTATTGAAAAGTTATATTAAATCTTAGGATTATTGAATTATTAGTTCAAATTCAATTTTATCAAAGAAGAACTATTGATAACAAGCTATGTAATTAAGTTAAAGGGAAAAAATTAAGCTTTGTATTAAGTTAAAGGAAAGAAAAATTAGCTTATTTAATTAAAGAAAGTTGGGAAGTTGCTTAAATATAGAAAGATTAAATTTTAGTATCGCCTATTTATTAAATTTTAGGATTATTGAATTATTAGTTCAAATTCAATTTTATCAAAGAAGAACTATTGATAACAAAGCTATGTAATTAAGTTAAAGGGAAAAAATTAAGTTATGTATTAAGTTAAAGGAAAGAAAAATTAGCTTAGTTAATTAAAGAAAGTTGGGAAGTTGCTTAAATATGGAAAGATTAATTTTTAGTATCGTCTATTTAATTATTAAAGTTACTTTATAAGGTTAATTTAGATATTATATCATATTTCGACGGCGATACACACATCGAGAAAGCTTACCAACCAAGTTGATTTCACATACATAGTTTTATGAGTGGAAAAACTTAAATTTTTTCAAATGTTGATAATTGATTATACTATTATGTTACATGAGATTATGTGACTTATTTCAACTACATAATTATTATAAAATATTTCTTCACCATGAAATATGTGGAATTATAAAGATTGTGTGTGGATTACTTGTTTAGGGTAGTTAGAAGATGTACCTCTAGTGATCACAGGAAGATGATCCACTCGATCGTGTTGATATTATATTGACCATTTGATTATTGATATTAATATTGCGTAGAGCTTTATCCGATACATATTAAGTGTACCAAGGACCCCAATGAAAATGAAAGTATTTCGAGTTTATATTGATGATTATATCATGACCATGAGACGATATTTTTCAGTATTACGAGTATGGTTCACATACTTATTATTATTATTATTATTATTATTATTATTATTATTATTATTATTATTATTATTATTATTATTATTATTATTATTATTATTATATGATATTAATATATGAACAGTTAAGTGATATAAACTTGATTATTGATAAGTATGTATAAATGAGAGAAATATAATTATTTTCGAACTTCATCACTCACCGATCTATCAATTCATAGAATTTTTCACGATTTTTCTTATCAAGTAATAGTCGAAATTCTAGGCAGCTTTTAGTGTTGATCCTTTGATTTTGCGAGTCAAAGCCACACTATAGAGTTATCTAGTACAACTCATCGCATAGAGCATGTAGTCATTCTGTGGGGACACATGTTCATATTTAGATACCACTTTTGCATCACTTGTAGATAGGTGGATGGGCTCACTCTATATTGGGCATACATATGTACAACTTATGTTATTTTCATTAAAAAAAGAAAAAAGAAAAAAGTCTGAGAATTTGGCTTATCTCTATCATGTTGTGTTATTGTGGTTATTCAAAGGAATCATGGTTTATAATTTCTATGTTAATCGTTGTCGGGATTTGTTGCACTTTTGATTAGAGGTTGGTTAGTCCAAATCACAGGGGAGATAGTTCCAAAATTTCATTACAAATAAGTCATAATAAGTTGCATACTTTAGTATCATTGATCGTGGGTCCAACTTTTAGTTTGTAGTTATCATCGGTGCACGTCGCGTTTCGGATCTACTAATGTTACTCGGGGCAGGGCAGGGCACTAAATCCCTATTCGGTTCTTAATCATGTTCAGTTAGATTCGATTCGTTTCAAAAGTTTTGTTCAACCCTAATTTCAAAACTTGAGCAAATTAACTATTTCGCATATGTCAGAGAGGCAGCAAAACTAATGCTTTACACTATAAACATTGATTAGATGCATTAGCACGAGACATTGTACACGCTCAATAAACATTTCAACGTCTCACTTTTGTTGCTTTGCTTCTCTATTTTTTGTCATCCACCCTTAATCATTACGACGAATAAATGTTTCTGTAAAAGTGAACCTGGTATTACTTGATCTTATTTTCCATGGCAATTAAAGAAGTTGCCATCGTGATTTAAGAGTTCAACGATCTTTCTTTTATTTTCTATTAATCATGGTACTATTTCAATGACTAATATTTTGCAGAACATGTCACAAAACATTAGCGTTTTTCCTAAAAGAGTTATTTTCGGAAAACATTTTTTTTATTCATTTTAAGAAGTTAAATTCGTTGCAATGTTGATTTCAAACAAATTTATGAAATACATGATGGATAAAATCGAGAATTCCAATTAGAAGGCTCCATTGAAAATGACGAAAGAATCCAAGAAATTCATCCCAAAAGATATTTTTTAGGCAGCAAGAAAAGATTGATAATTCATTTCATTTTTGTCTTCAACTAATCACATCAAGTAACCAATCTCTTCACTTATATCTAGGAATTTTTCTTAGTTATAATCACCACCAAGATAAAAATAAATGTCCCAAGTTACAAATTTCCAAATTCTTTTAGAAGAAATCAATGTCGTCAAAAAATATGTACAGCCTAGAAATTAACAAAAATACAAGCCCCCGTTTGGGCTATCTATTGTATTTTTTAGGGAAAATATATTTTCAAATTGTGATTTATTATTATTATTATTATTTTCTTTTGAGAATGTGTAATATGAGAAAAAGGAAAAATTTTGAGTTTACGTGCAATATTATTTTATTTAAAAATACGTGATTAAAAAGTGAGAGAAAATGTATTTTAAATAAAATGGAGCCAAAACATGGGCTTATATATGTTGACTTAAGTGAGGCTACTCTCACAATTGCAGCCCTCTCAGGTACTTCTCTGGATTATAATTTCATATTCTTTAGTTCTATTCGTTGCAGGTTTCGTCCCAGTTTATCTTTCATAAATTTCTTGATTTTCTTATCTATGATTATGCTTGTGTTTAAACTGTTCAATTCATGCTAATGAGTGATAAAAGATTCTTGCCGGCCTCATCTCTTTTGAGAACAAAACTTATTTTTTTGTTGCTACATTTGCAGTTTCTGGTAACAATTTTTTCTTCAGAATCCACCTGTTTCGGATTATCATGTCTTCGTTAACTTTGCCTTAGAAATAGTATCTTCTTTTCATCTGATGTGCAGAATCCACGTTGAAACATTGTAGATTTTATTTTTTTCATTTTTGAAGGTGAGATTCATTTCGTCCAACGAAAAACAATGCCTAGAGACACTAAGAAGGTTCTGATGGTTCAACATGCTTCGGGACTACTCGATTTCGAATCCATCAGAAAAACCCTAAAGTCACTTAGCCCTAATGACAAAATCACTGTTCTTGCAATTATACAGAAGACATCAGGTACTCTTCACCGTGAAAAAGTAAAAGGTTATATTAATTTATTGACTGCAAATAAATCTTCACAAAAAAGAAGAATATACGTCAACATAGAGGTATCAAAATGTTGAGGTCCGAACTCCCTCAGTTCCAAGCTACGTAGTTGACTTTCTGTTACTATTGTGTGTGACACGTTTTTTTTTTTTTTTTTTTGGTTACAAAAATTCCATGGTTATCGGATTTCCCTCGTTGATTCAGCCGAAGACGACAATAAGAAAAACAAAGACATTAAAGAGAAGCTAGATGAATATTCAAACTGTTCAGATATTGCTGAGATTAAGATACTAGCTCAAGTGCAACAGGTTATCAATGACAGTGTTTCTTGCAAATACCCCACTACTCCCAACATTTCAGAATTTGTGACTAAATTATCAAGTTTTATGGATTGGTGTATGCATATAGGTGGAATTTAATGTAGCAGTTGAGGCGGGTTCGCTCAATGAAGTTGCAGTCGAATATGCTAAGAAATTCGGGGCAACACGCGTGCACCTTCCATGGTATTCTGCTATTTTCATCCTGAAATATATTTGAATCATTATTTGCCAATCTTAGCACATCCCTAATGTTTATATACGTTGATAAATGTGTTGCAGGAGTTTCTCAATCATGCAAGCAGAAGAGCAAAATCAAGAAAACTCCAGTCATAAATCCCTCGTAGAGAGACTATTGCTCGATAAGCTAGCAGAACTCGTTTCGTCTGGACCTCAGTTATCATCAACAATGGCTGATAGAGGTAATCGACTATACACCCTTATTGCCTTTTAGACTCTGAGGTATCGTTTAGCCTGAGCACGTATAGAACCTTTGGTTATGCCTCATTTCTGGGAGGTCTACGCCCCCATAGAAACTATTTACTTGTAGACACTTGTGTTGCCCAGGGCATAAGAGGCTTGATGACTTCACGTCATCTTCGCTCGCATTTGTCATTGCAGGAAAAGGTCACCCCAAAATCCCACCACTTGCTGATGATCCCTCAGAGAAGATTCGTGCTAGAAGGGATTCTGGCTCAAGTTCAAGCGTTCTACCTCCACGAAAGTCACATCATTTCGGTCCTTTAAAAGGGGTGTTTCCCAGTATCTCCTCGCCGAGCAATGTCAACCAACCGGCCTTTGATGATGACCTAGAGGCCTCAGACACACCCCTCGGGATGCTTCCCTATCCTATATCTGAAGTTATTGGCATTGTCGGGAAGTTTTGGGTTCAGAAACACTCCGAGAAGTTGCAGGGGTTGGAAGACAGTCAGGTCAGGAATGGAGCCCTTAGCTACATGGTGAAGGCATTGGTTTATACCATTGAAGACAACAACAGGACTTCTAAGCTTTTGGGCAAAACTGAAGGCTTAATTGATGAGAATGCGAAGCTGCAAGAAAAGGTTGGTGAGATGGAGGATAAACTGAGTATTCTGAAGAATTTAAAATCCAAAATGCAGACTAGGCTGAAAAGACGTGATGCTAGAATTGTTAAGCTAAAGGCTAAGATTACGGCCCCGGAGGAGGAAACTGAGAAGGCAAAAAAAGAAGCTACTGAGGCTATAGAAAACTTTAAGGAAACAAAGGAGTATAGAGCTTTGAGGGAAGAGTTGTACCATCAAGGGGCTGATGCCATGATTGAGTCGATCACTGCAGCACGACCTGATTACGACCTCAGCTTCTTATACTCATCTGATGAGGATGAGGACAAGATATCAACCGACGAAGATCTTGATCAGGATTGGAAAACAGAAGAGAATTGTTGAAATGAGAGATTTATCCACCACGAAATCACATTAATTCAGCACTTGTTTCTGTTTATTTATAATTTAAATGGTTTACATTTACTTGTCGAACGAGCTTCTAGTTTCATCGAATAAAAAATGAACGATTAAATTTTACATTTTTCCCTTCAAATAAGTGTGTTATCTTTCATTATCAACAAATCCTACATATCTTAACTTCGATTAATTATGATGATGTACTAACAATTAAATTATATATACTTTGTTAACGCCGTTACAACGTAACGGAAGCCCCATAATGCAACAAATTGTTACCCGAGCCGACAGCTAAGCTGAAGTGCCTTGAGCTACAAGACTGTCCGCGTATTGGGATTCACAACAAAAGCTTTCGGTGTAAGCATAAAATAATAATTTTGCAGTTTCGTCATTGTCACGTCATGTCTCTGTCAAGGTGACGTCACGAGTGGCGTCGCTCTTCCTTTGTCTTCTAGAAAAAGTTTTGGCTTTACACTCCACAATCCAATCCTCAATCATATCAACTTATCTCATCCAATTTTTTCTTCCCTCTTTTTCTGTTAGTCAAAATTATTTTGATGATATCAATTCAATGAGAATTTACCTGAGTAATAAATTATTAATTCATACTTCAGTCGCGATAGACACACGATCAACTTTTGAAATGACTAAGCCACCGTTGGGCTCTCTTTAAATTATTTTTTTGTTTTTTCTCGCTTCTAATTTTAATCATACAATTTTTTTAATCATTCATTCTCCAAAAAATTACTATTTCTTTCATTAAAATTTAAAATAATGAAAGCGAAATGGGGGATAAATTATATTATGTTATAATGAGTAATGGAGATTTTTTTTTTTTTTTTTTAAATCGTGTCAAATGATGCACTTCTAGTTAAGACCATTCATGCCATCAACTTTTTAATCAAAATTTACTAAAAATTGGCTTTTAGCAAAACCAAACAGGAACTGAATGTTCTTAGACCATATGGGTAGACATAATGTGAATCTCGCCTTCCTTGATATGAGCTCAACATGTATAAAGTAGGTCGTCTTCGAGCAAATTTACTGATGTCAACTAAACTCGCTTCACGTCCAACTATTTGAGTCTTGCGATAAACCCTTTGATTTATAACACGCAAGCACTCACAAAAGCATGCTTATGTGACAAAAATATTGTGTTGCACAGCTCAAACAAATATTATATGGCTCATGTTTGGGATTCATTATATCCGAAATGCATTTTTCTCTCTTTTTTTAACCAGGCATTCTTAAATAAAATAATATTACAAGTGAACTAAAAATATTTTCTTCATTTTCAACTACACATTCTTGAAAAAAAAATTTATTCTAAAATATATTTTATATATATTTTTTTTTTCCTAAAATACATTTTATTGGAGCCCACGCAGTGCTAGATGTAGAAAAAAGTGATCTATACAAAAATGAGGGTGAACTCGAAAGCTAGAACTGCAATATAGGACCAAGTTCTTTAGGAAAAGATTCTTGAGGACCCACACGGCATTATTGGATAACTTATGGTTACATAAAAAGAGGCATAGATTGTCGATCTGCCACCCAATTAAGGCCCATGGGCCCCTAGGCCCAAATACAAGACTGGTCGTACCATGTTTAGGTATTATAAACGACGCGGTCTCTTTTCTATTATTTTTAATTTTTCTAGCTAATTGACCTTATTTTTCATAACAATGTTATTTAGTCCCACTAGAATTAAAGTTGAAATTTAAATGACGTAAATGTGAAATTAAATGATAAGTCGAATTAAATAAGTTATTTAATTTCACATTTCATTCAACCTATCATCAAGCGTCACTTAAACTGAAGTTATAACCTAACGAGGCATATCATCATTCTATTTTCCAAAATATAATGGTAACGGAGTTTGTCCCCTCTTAACCACAAAACATTACACCTTAACTTTACATAAACCATGGTTTACTCATGGTACACAGATTGAGCATGCGTGTTCCTAGGAAAGCCGTCTCCTTATCCCCACTTCCGTACCACTCCCCTTCTTCTATATACTCACCCCGCTCCTTTAACCTCACCACTCCTCTGCATTTTTTGATCCAGATTTTTTTTCTTTATAAACATCTTTTGATTCTGGGTTTTCCAATTTGTCGGTGAAAAGTGGGGTTCATTGTGTTTTTGCAGAATCTTTAATGGCTTCTTCTGAGAATTATGTAACTGTTGAACAACCGTGGAGGTTCCGGGGATCTTTCACGGATTCCATGGCTTACGAATTCTACACAAAAGAGAATGAAAAGCTAACTAAAGCTTTGCAAATGTCATATACAGGTGGCGCCACCACAGCCGACACCCCCACGTCTCTTTTGGAGAAGCCTGAAACGATGCTGTTTCAAACCCCCTCCGTCTCCGGCGGTTCGGAATGTGAAGCCTCGGTTTCCAAACCTCGGACCGTCGGGTTGACACGGAAGATAACAAAACGGAAGTCGCGTGCGTCTAAAGGTGCAACGACGACGTTTATATCTGCTGATCCAGCGAATTTCAGACAAATGGTACAGCAGATGACAGGAGCTAGACTTGGGGGCATGAACGGACAGCTGCCGGTTACTCAGGTTCTGAAGCCTGAGCCTCAAAGGCCAGTCAACCGGTTGCAGCCGAGTGGAGGCCTGTCAACTCTTGACACGTCATCTTTTCTGCTCAGCCAAACCCGCCGTCACCAAGTCGACCCAATTTCATATTTGGTGGCTCAGCCACCTGCCACGGTGGTTACTGACGGTGGCTCCGGTGGGCTTGACTTCAACTCTCTTTGCAACTTTCCAACCCTCGAGTCTTGGAAAGATATGTAATGTGGTGCAAATGAGCTTTAACTTTACCGGTCCAGCGACGACTCTCACAGTCCGATCGCTAAAATGGATTTAATTTCGATTTTTATTTTTTAAGTACTTTTTAATTTTTTGAAAAGGAATCTTGGAGACGGGTAAAATCGGACAAGCTGTTAATAATTTGGGACATGGCTTGTATGGATGGAAATCTATTGTATGATATGATGTATAATTGTGACTTAAGTTATTGTAGTTTAATGTATCACTTTCAATCATTTCTCTATCAATTTTAATCACATCGTATTGCTATGTGAATTGATTAGGATTTTATTATTTATGGCTAAGCACATTATTGTGGTTTTTAAGAGCAAAAAAGGAATAATTACGATGAAAGAGCTGGAACTTTTAATATAATTTTTAAATAATTATTACTTTTTACCGTTACTTATTATGAAAATTGCACCTCTTTCTGACGAGAATAAAGAATAAATTTATCTAACCATCGTTTGATTCTTATTCATCAAAAAATTCATTTGTTCAAAATTCATTTTTAATCATACATTTTTCAAATAAATAATATTACACGCAAATCCAAAACTTTTCTTCAGCCCATGTTTGTTTCTCATTTTTTTCATTAAAACAAAAAATATGATCGTTATCCATCAAATCAAGCCACCAAATTTGAATTTATATATCGTGTGAGTCCATAACGGCTCTATTTTTCATTTTCATTTTTGCAAAAATGAGAAACAAACGCCCCTTAATTTTTAACCACACATTCTTCATCAATTTACTATTCGAAATGCATTATTTCCTCCAAAATGAGAATCAAACAAGGGCATAATATCATTGATATTGATTGTTGAGCATCAATTTAGGTGTCAGTATATTTTGTCCTATTAAATGAATCATAATTCATTGTATTTAATTGAACATGTAACTTGGTCCCTATTTGACAGAATTTTTTTTTTTTGAAAGAATGGGTTTTTAAATAATAAATTTTGGGAGACAGTGTAGTTTAAGAGTAAGGAAATGATTTTAGATTTATGTGAATAATTAAATATCAGTGGCGCTAATTAATATTACTGTTCTAACAATAGCTCATACCTTTAGTATGCGGTCTACTTCGTCTAATACTGCCACAATTTGTGTTCTTCCCTTCACGAGTCTTTAAGAAAGTTCAGCATTCCTCTGCTGTGGTGGAACATTCTCATGCCAACCCCTTCTTCTAACATGGACTTTGAGCAATGGAATTGACTCAGATTAATCAATCAAGAACTTTTAACCCCAACATAGATTTATTGATTTGTTTATTTTCTCCTATGGAAACTTGTAATTTAATTTATTGTAGTCTTTGTCAGAACGATCGTTGTGTGATCTTCATAGTCATTATCGAGTTTGAACTTTGAAATTTCAAGTTCTTTTTTCAATTAAATATTTCATTTTGATTTAAGAACATATAAACTAGATTCTACTAGATTGTCTTATATATATATATATATATAATCTTAATATATTAATTCTATATAATGTTGCCTATCGTGGTCAGACTAGAATAATAAAATACTGAGATTAGAAAAATTAAAATAATATCCTTGATTTATAACTGTATCCTAGAAAATGGAGTATTTAATTATAAGTGTTAGTGGAATTGCGACAAATTATCATTAAAATATTTATATTACTCAATAACAAGCAAGGGAGACCAAGTTTAATACATCGACTAAAGAAAAATAAATTAAAATTTTATCTAAGTACTATATAGTATTGTTTAATGCTACACTTCAATTGAGAATTAATCGTCTAAATTTCTTTTTTTATTGTCACATAACACTCAATTTCCAACTTATTGAAGTTAGATTTTATTTTCTTACTTGTGAGGGAGTGATTGAAAAGCTGAATCGATACACTTTTTGGAGGTTAAATGACAATTCTTATAAAAAATAGTAGACAATTCTTTTATTAAAAATTAATTATGCAACTGTAATGAAAGTATTAGGAGTAAATTTAAAATATTTGATATCTATTTACTTCTTTTTAAATGTAACTTACTATTAAATTGGGTAAGTTTTCATTTTTAATACAAGAAATTATGCTCCTGTTTGACATTCATTATTTCAAAAATCTTTTTTTCTAAATATTCATTTTCAATCACACATTCACGTAATAAAATATTCTGCAATTAAATTCAAAATTTTTCTTACTTTATAACCATATTTTTCAAAAAATTATTATTTAAAACTTCATGTTACCTAAATAGTAGCCATCAAACATGGACTAAATAGATAAAAAAAAAATTCAAATAAATAGGAATTTAATTGAAGTAAATATGTAGTCGTAAGTTCTTTTATGTACTCTACGTCACTAATTTTTGTTTCACATCTAACATTATGTCAAATAAATTTTTACAACAAGCAAATTTCGAAGCTCGATTAATCAAATATTCAATTCTAAGTATCATCAAGCAACTTTTCACATACAAGCCACAAAATTGTTGTATCAAGCAAATACAAAACACGAAAAGTAGTAGTAATACTTTTAGCAAAAACTTTTTTTGGGGTCAAGGAATCAAAATAAAGAGTCAATTAAGGAGGGCTGTACCTGATTGTACCCTGTCTTGGTATTTTTCAATTTTGACTTGATTTTTATTTAAATGAACAACGTGGTCTTAAGCAATTGTATTGCGAATTGCCCCACAATCTCAAGTCCAATCTTGGATTCTCGTGACATAGACGCGTGTCCACATGATAATTGTCCAGACTAATCATATACCGTCAAACACGGAAGCCCATGATCATCTGACGGTCACTGTACAATGTTGACTTCCACATATATAGAATGATGTTTATTTTGAAACCCGCACAATTTAATTGACGGTCCAAATCTTTGGTAAATTATCGATTAAAGATAAATTTTAATCAAATTATTTAATTATCCCAGTTTAGCACCGATTAAATTTCATTACATTACATTTAATTCTATTTTTCTCTCTTCTATGTTTAATCAAATAATCTTGCATAAAATAGTATTACACGTAAATAAAAAAAAAATCATTCTTTTTCAACCACTCATTTAAAAAAAAAAAAAAACTATTCTACTCATTTTCATTTCTAGAAAATGGGGACCAAACGGGGCTATATATCAAAAGTAATTTATACTATAAGTAATTGATCGATTACTATTGAACAATGACAAATGATAGATTATTGTCGTTGATTAGAGCATTTAAATTGAGAGTCGAGGATACTGTTCCAAGAACAACTAAAAGTTTGACACGAAATGGAGATTTTTGTAGTAGATGAAGATTGCAGTGAAACACGAACTAAAATTTCTTATTGAAATATAATATTTATTAAATATCATCTAAAAAATCCAACAGTTAAAAAAAATGTATTGTAGAAAAGTGACAACAGAAGGGTATAATTGAAAGAGAATGGAATACTGTGTGGGGAAATTTGAGTAGAGTCAATAGTGGGGATGGTTGTTGGTCTGAGTGGAGTGGTGGGTGTGAAGTTGGGGTGGTTGTTGACTCGCGAGTCTTTGTCCTACTTTTTGCGGTCATAACTGTAAGCACTGACGTATGAGTTGACTTAGTCAAAGACATTGCCTATCACATACAAATATGATTTCATGCTTATGATTTCATTATGTAATACAAGACTAAACTCCTCTTTTAAAAAAATAAAAATTAATTAATTAATTTGAGTAATTGAGTGCTCGTTCGATTATTTTATCAACTTTCAACTGATCAAATTTCAATTATAACCACACATTTCATTCAACTTACAAGCTTTTTGAGGATCTCGCAAATGGGATTGACTTAGACAAATGTTCTAAACCCTTGATCGTCCTGGGCCACAAAAAAATGACTTTAAATCTTGGAAAAATTGCAGCAGAAGTCCCAAATCTTTATAACATTAGCAAACTTTTTTCAAAACTTTGATTTGTCGCAGTCGTCACCCCTAACATTTTCAAACGTTGTAGGTGGAGCCCTTTTGCACGGTTTCCATCCAAAATACCGTTAGTTAACCAAAAATTTAATTTTGACTATATTTTAAATATTTTAAAAAGGAATAAAAGAGTAAATTTTCATTTATCACATTAAATAATAATTAAATTAAAAAATAAAAAACCCAAAACTCAGTCTTCTTCCTCCTACCCCACCCCATTTATTAATAAATTTTCATTTTCACAGTGTTTCTCTCTCATCCCATCTCTCTCAACTACATCTCTGACTCTATTTTTGAATCAGTCATCGTTATCAATGCCTTCGTAGACAGTCCTTGTCCGATCATCAATGCTGCCTACCGAAAAAGCCCATCAGGATGATCTACGGCGACAGTTTTCAAAGCTCGGCCCGCATATATTCAAAGATGCTACAATACTGATCTCATTTGTTGGACCCCAAGTTGTTGAATTTCTTCTTTTGCCTTCAAACTAGTCCTTGGAAATGAATTTCTTGTTTTCAAAAGCAATTTCTCAGCGTGATGACTTTCAGTTAAGTTATTTGCTTAGATTTACTGCAAAGAATGGAAATTCATTCTTCGTTTCGGGCCTGATTGAGGCTAGTACAGATGTAAATGGAAGGGATTTAGAGGGAGAATCTGTCTTGTCCTTGGCTGTTAAATCTAGAAATGTTGATTCTGTTCAGGTTTTGATTGAATCGGGTTCTACAGTAGACAACAAAATTGATAGATTTTCCCACGAAATCACAACTTCAAGATGGGTCGATTTAATGGAAACCACTAGTCTATAAATTAAAACTGAACTCTATTGCTACATCTGAAAGAAGACTGGGGGTGGCGTGGGGTAGGAGGAAGAAGATCGGGCGGTGGGTTTTTTATTTTTTAATTTAATTATTATTTAATGTGATAAATGAAAATTTACTCTTTTGCCCCATTTTAAAATATTAAAAATGTGGTCAAAGTTAATTTTTTTGTCTACTGACGGAATTGTGGATGAAAATCGTCCAAAATAACTTCACCTGCAATATTTGAAAATGTTAGAAGTGACTTCTGTAACAAATCAAAGATTTGGGAAAAGTTTACTAATGTTTCAAAGATTTGAGACTTCTACTACAATGATCCCAAAATGTTATAAATCATAAATGTATCCGGACATAAACATTTTACATTAGAGGATCACAATCAAATTTTTAAAAAAAGCGACGAAATTTTTTTTTATTGCTTTATATGGGTTATAAACTGTTATACTACTTTTTCATCTTGATTATTTTTACATCTAAAATTTATATATATATTCGATCATTTTTGGGATTTTTTTTATTATTGTTACTTTTTCCTTTCAATTAATTAATTTTTTTAAAAAAATAATCTAATAAATTTCCTAATAAAATTTTTGACATCATTTGAAAAAAAAATTAATTGATTAAGAGGAAAATGAAACAATAATAAAAAAAATCCTAAAAATGATTGAATTTTTTTTATACATAACTTTTTTTCAGATATAAAAATAATCAAGACGAAAAATTAGTATAACAATTTATAACCCCTATGAAGTAATAAAAATTTTATTAAGAATTTTTACGTCCAAAAAAAATAAAATTTGACGTCATACCACATATAAAATTTCCTAATAAAATGAAGTAAATTATAGTGAAAAATTTGTCGCACAAAAATAATTGATTTTTTTTTAAATGACTAGTTATACGTCTCTTTTTAATATACAAGTTTGACGTATGCTTAACTATTTTTTATATTAATTTAAATCATTCGATATGTTTATGAAATAGTTCTCCAAATAAGCTTCGAGAGGATATAGAAGATTTATGGATATGGCTAGCGTATAATCTTGAAAAAAATTTAAAGTTAACTTGTTATCGAAATATTAGTTTAGAACGGCTTATTTTGACGCGTCGTAACATTTGGTACGATTGGCTATTTCGCTCAACATTAACGATGTGGAATACTAGACTGTAAGTACTCCAAAATGATATTAAAAATGTAATATTTCAACTTCATTTGATATTTCATAATGAGCCTGAAAAATAGGGGAAAAAAAAACCTTGAAAAATCTGAAGGGTCAAGTGACCCTAGGGGACCCCCCTCGGGTCGGCGGGTCCTCCCCTGAACGACTAGCCATTGTCTAGGAGTGCTTTTGGACAGAGTTGAAACCAAAATTTGACCGTTATCCATGTAGGCTATTCTCAACTGTGGACTACTTTTAAGGCAGAATGACTTTTTTGTCCCCTTAACATTTAATTCATTCTTCATGAGGGGATGAGCATTTTTCATATTTAATTTGAGACAGTCAAATATTGCAGTCAAAATAGGACCTAGTAACGGGAAAAAAATCTCTCCCAGACAAGGGGTTAGTAAGTTAGATGACCATCAGAAAAAGTTTTAAAATTTAATTACTAATGAAAAACAATTTGATAAGTTTGATAACCATCAAAAAACATTTAAAGTTCATCACAAGTCGCCCAATAATGCTACAAAATTAAAAGCTCAAATGGGTGGTACAAAAAAAGGATTGGGACCAAGCTACAATAAAGATCATAAAATGGGGACTCGTAGTGAAATTTTTCTTAGAAAATACAGCACAAAAATGTGCTGATAGGCTTATCCAAGAAAACCCAATGCCAGTAGAAGAAAAATGGCTCCTCTCTTTACCAGCACTCCCACCATTCCGCTCTCCTCTGTCTCACCTTCACCAATTCGTTCAGCAATTATTGCCCACCCTTGTAAGTACAAACAATTCTTCTTTTTTTAGTACTTAGGTAAATATTGCTTATTTATTTATTGCAGCGTTCTACAATTATTTATCTGTATGTATGAATATATCTTTGTTTGTCACTCATTATCTTGGCTGTGGTAATTTTGATTTGTATATGGTGTTTTTAATTCTACTTCTTGTTTATGAATTCTGAGTTTTTGTTGTCTTGGTACGCTAATTTATCTCCCTTCCACACACACTCTCGCAGAGAAATGTATTGACTGAAGCATTTGCCTTTGTTTCTTACTTATCAATTCGTTGACATTAGAAATAGAATTTTAGTTATATATAATGCAGATCCATTCATTTGGCTTTTACAATTGTTTATTTGTTTCTAGGCGGCTAGGCAGTTGTAGTCTCCATTTCATCTTGAATATGTATGTACTAATTTTTGTTAAGCATATTATGTTTTGGACATCAAGCTTCTTGAAGGATCGTCTGAATCCAACTTTTGTAGTTTTCTACCAAAAATTTTGATTAGATGGATATTTATTTGTGATGAACTAAAACTAAGCTTATCAAATTCAGTAGTTTAGACTTCTCATCAAAGGAAAAAAGATTAAAACCAGCAACTTTTGTTTGTAGTTCTTGTCGATTTTCCACTTCTAGTCTTGTTTGTGAAGTTGATAGTGTTACTGAATTTTGCAATTGGGTTCTTTTATCAGTCTCCAGATCATGTAGCAATTCCGTTTGTTTTAAGCCAAAATCATATGTCGGGTACAGAACTGTAACTCCATTTATTCTCAAAGAGAGAGGGGCATTGATTACAAAGGCATCTTCTGACGTTGATGGAGTAGGCTCCACTGATCCGGAGTCTCCTGCCTCTCCCTCGGAAAGTAACGAGGAAAATGTTCCCATCGAGAACCTTCCTCTTCAATCCAAGTTACAACTGAAGCTAGAGCAGAAGATGAGGATGAAGGCGGCAAAGAAGATTAGGCTGAGGAGAAAGAGGCTTGTTAGGAAGCGCCACCTGAGGAAGAAAGGACGATGGCCTCCTTCAAAGTTGAAGAAGAACAAGAATGTGTAAACCTTCCATCAAGATCTCGTGCAGGTTTATAGTTACTCGTTTCCTTACCATGTCATTGCAATTCATCTTTCGCGACTTCAAATGTTTAACGTAGTAACGTTTAAAATATCAGTAGATATCATTTTTCATTTCAGTCAGTTCAAGTTGATTGGACGCATGTTTCTGGTATAGATATCCGTAGAAGAACAAGAAGAATGTTCATTTTTTGGGGCGCGGGGGCTTGAAATCAATTTGATTATATGTATCTGGGTTTATTTCAGGGATATAATTGACTATAAAACGCAATTATCTGCAAATATCATAATTAAGTTGAGTGAAGTTCAATACACCATTCATTGAAAAGCAAAAACTGATACAAGAAGATTCCTCGATGCAATTGTGCATGGAATTTGCATTCCTGATTTGCATTCCTGCTGTACATTTAGCAGGCAGAATCCGCGAAAATGGGCGCCACCCAGATGTCTCTATCGTCTCCTTTTTCTGCAAAAATAAGTCTACTCTGTTCATACCGAATTCTTACCCTTGAGAATGTTAAGTTTGCAGAGAGGGCAGGTTGCACTAATCTGCAGCCACTTGCCAATGCATGTATGGTGGAAATGATGGTTGCAGGGAAGGGTACACAACTCTACACCATCAACGTACTTATAAAGGCATATGCAGCACTCCTACAAGGGAAAAATAGATCATAGTGCAAATTTGAGTAGACAAACATTCATAAACGAAACGAACAAAACTAAGGCAAAAAGGTGACCAAGTGCATCTGTTATTTCTCAATTCAAGCTGCCAACACAGAAGAGTAGAGTAAAAATTGTTCATAAACAACTCCGAGAAATTCTAATAGATATACATGCAACAATTGTTACACAAACAGAGATTCTAATAGACAATACATGTCGATGGTCAGTAATTCAGTGCGCACAAAACGGTTAAATTTAAACAAACGATTTTCTTTAAGTAACGTATTGCTGTAAGCATGGAACATTGCTGAAATGACTGCTCCCAGCCCCACCTGTCAAAAACTTGTGTTCTTCCTTCCATTATCAAATCTCAAGTTCCCCATGGAAGACAAATGAAAAATAGCGAGGAGAATTGCATACATTGTATGAAAAACATAAGAAAATTTCGATTGAACTGAAATGGAAAAAGAAAACAATAAGATGGAGGCATAAATGCTTACAGAATCCTCTGGATTAAGAGTGAGTTCAGCTGCAAGATTACTGTCGTCAGACTGTGAAGTTATACTAACTTCTTCTTGCTTCATATCATTTCCCAAAGCATTGGGCAGGCGATATCTATACTTGGGAAGAGCCCTAATATCATTTTCAGATGCTCCTTCTCCAACGGTCATAGCATAGGCAACTGTAGATAAGATAGGAAAGCAACAGAACAATGCAAAGAAAACGATACAGGCCATTGCTATACAGAAGATCATAAAGAACACGTCGAAGGCTAGGAAAACCACCGACAACCTGCAATTTCGAGAATTAATTTTTGAGAGAGGTCTTATGCATCATTTACTGTAAATGCAAATCGACAAATGTCATTTACTCGATGGATCTTTTATTTTTGTGTTGTCTGTTGGGATGGGGATTCAAAAAGTTCCATTCTTTATAATCCTGGCGAATTTCTGAATTGAGGAAGAACTCTTCATATGAATCTAACCAACTAAAAAAATCAATATTATTATGCATTACAAAAGCCATTTTCTGCGATCAAACACGTTGCCTTGAAAATGGTACAACATTTTTATGAGAACTGCATAACTGTTAAAATTGTTTTACATTTCTGAGATCATTCAAATATTTCATTTAGATTGGGGGCGATCATTTTCGAATGTTAAAATGTATGACATACCAGTATAACCGGGGAGACTCTTGTAGAAGTGCTTGGCCTCCCGTCACAGTCCAATAAAATCCAAACACCCACCAAATTGATGAAATCACAGTATTAATGGATTCCAGCTTCTTGATAATGCTGGAAATTATCAACAAAGAGAATCATAATTTTAAAATTGCTGACCGTTGAAATCATTTACATTCTGAGATCTTGTAACAAAATCTTAAGCTCGATTGTCTGTAACCCCAGGTATTAAAAATAAGAGTAGAATATGTACTGAAGCAAGACTTTTCATGCTTTAAATAGATAAGAGTCATTAAAAATTCAATTAAAAAAATCAATAACTACTAGTGAGCTTCTTCTTTTAAATTAAAACATGTATATCAAACATAAGGCCAATGAAGTACATTAAATCAAAACATGAACTAGGAGATAATCTTTTAAATCTTCCACACACAAAAAAATAAATAAATAAATAAAAGGGGGAAAAAAAGGGGTTTCCCCTTCACCTTTGATTAATCCATGTGATAAAATGTGGATAGTTAACTTAAGAGATAGATTTAACATGTAATAGTATGAAAAAAAAAATATGAATTTTTGGGCCAAAATAACCTTTCAATATTAAATTACAACAGATTATCGCAGTTTCTCTCTCACACTTGCTCTCCTCTCTCTGCTCTTTCCTTTTTCCCTTTCTCCATTTTCTGCATCTTTCTCCTTCTCCCATAGTTACTTTGCTGCTGGTCACCGGTAGAAGAAACAGCTCTGCAGCCCCCTTCCTCTTCCTTTCTTCTCACCCAAATTCACATCCACCCTGTCCAATCATAACTACACCCTTTTCAAAATATTAGTAGGGTTTAAACTGCATAGTTTGGGGTGGGTGGGGGCCGGTCTTTGTTCAATTTGAATGTATTTTCCAGCAATGACCTCATAATTATTAGGGTACAACAATAATAATCAAATAGAGACCATGTATTCCGGTTATATTTCTATCAATATATCATAATCCTATTTTATCCACAATAGCTAGAGATAAAAACCTACTCTGATAAGGATATATAGTCATATCAAGACAATGATAAACAAATCCTAATGAATAAGTATAAACATTGTCCCCCTGAATTCAAAAATTCCAGCTCTTATCGTGTTCTTCAACTTGCCGAACACATACGGCTTCAACAATTTTGTGAACAGGTCCAGTACTTGATATTTGACTTGTAGCAAACATGATCAGATTCATCTTGATTCTTAACTCAAGAAGTCAATGCACATTGGCGTCTTTACTTCTCTCCTCTGCAATTGGATTCTAAACTGAATCGATAGGCGAACCACAGTTGCTAGTTAGCTAAGAATCCAATTGCACGGGAAATATGTAAAGACATTGAGGGGAATTATCACTTTCCACACAATCAAGTCAAGAATAACGAAATCAACCACGTTTAATATGTCAAGTTGCCATATGTTTACAAAACCATTGATTCTGGATTCATTCATACTCAAAACTAAGCTCCATTACACAAAATAACAACTGAAAACAAAGAAGACGAAAGAAGTCAAGATCCATGAAAAGCAATATTCAGAAAAAGGTCATATCCCAATACTACTAAATTAACAGCCCTAAACCCATTTCTCTCAATAATAAACAAATTTAAAAGCCTGCATTTGAAGGGTCTTTCTGGATATCATTTGCTTTCTTGAAACAAGGATCTCAACATGCCAACATCAACCACACATTCTAAATTTAAGACCATTCAAAAAGCCATTCAAACACATAACAAAAAAATATATCAATTCAACATCCCCGAGAGTTTTCTCAATAAAAATCAAACTGAATTTACCTGTTATGACACAGTGAAGAAAACGTAAAGAGACCACGAAAGTTAAACTCTCGAACCCCAACATCATCAAGACTCCTCCTTTGATACTCAGCCCACACAATCCCCACATGCAGAAGGCTCTGCAGAGCATACCCTAAAATCCAAACCCTTAAAGGAGTCGAGGGTCTTTCTTGAATGGTGGTCAAAAGCACAGAAAAAGACACCAAAACAAATGCCAAGTTCCATATTATATCAAGAAACAGAAAGGGTCTTGCGTAGCCACAATCTGTTGTGCTGAGTGGTGCATCATTTTCAGGTTCATCATCTATGAAAATCCTGTGGTGGTGGTGGTGGTGGTGGTCAAAGGAGTCTATGGAGTTGCTGGTGGGTCCCATGTCTCCATAAGCACTTAAAGTCTGCATCTGCTCTCGATCCATTGTATGTTTGTGAGAGTGAAATCAGCCTATTTGTGCTTGTTTTTTGTAGGGGATTTCAGGGTCCATAGGATTTGGGGAAGTGGTTTTGGGCGGAGACTGGTGGAGGACGAACTGAGAAAGAAATCATTGTACACCTGGGGAAATTTTCATTAGTTTCCTAACTTATATTTTTATTAAAATTTGACCATTCAATTTAAATTTATGAATGATCATCCAACTTTATATTTAATATTATCATAGTCATTTAATTTGATTTTATTCCACCATGACACCCAACTTTATATTTAATATTATCGTGGTTACTTAATCTAATTTTATTTCATGACCACCTAATTTTGTATAACATTTCACCATGATTACTCACCTTCTTTTCATCATTTTCATTAATTTTAAAATAGGTAAAATAGCAACTTTGCATTATATATATATAATAGTTTCTTTTTTATTTTATAAACCTTTTTTAAAAAATATGTTTTACCTTTTTTAAAATTAATAAAAATGATAAAAAGAAATTGGGTGACCATGGTGAAATGTTATATGAAATTGGATGATAATGATAATACTAAGTATAAAGTGAGTGGTTATGGTGAAACAAAATCATATTGAGTGATCATAATGACACTAAATATAAAATTGAATGGTCATTGGCAGATTTAACCTAATTTATATATGTATTATTTTAAAAACTTTTGAAAAAAAAAACAACTAAAATAAAAAATAAATAAATAAACTTAGTAAATTTTGATTAAAAAAAAATAAATGTATTTTAAGCTTCTTCTTTTTTTCCAAATAAGCACTTAATTTGATTATTTCATTCATAATCTTTAACAATGAAATAATAAACTTGACTTATCACATGCATTTGGTGGCCTACAGGCCACATATGAAACTACCAGAATGGGTTGAATAAATAAATTTCATAAATAACACTTGAACCATCGAAGACTCCCATTTAACAAATTGTAAGAGTTGGATTGTAAATAATATTGTTGGCAAGGTCTAACTGAAATAAATATTACAAGTGCTATTAGTTTTCTTAGTGATAGATATAAAGGTCTAATTGAAATAAAAATACAAGATAGGTGATTAAATTGAAATGAATTTAAGTAAGGTATCCAACGTGAAATAAATCTGTAAGTTGGTGGCTTTGTTGAAATTTCCACGAAACAGGTTGGCTACCCCAGTGCCATTCAAATTGCTTGTTTAAGAAAACACATAGCCTCTGCACCAAAGTTGAGATTTGTTGTCCAAATTTTGTTGTTCCTCCAATGAATGATTTATATATCATTTTAAATTCGTATATCCTATTTTTCGTTCACTACCACTTGTGCTTAAAATTATGTGACAATTTAATGTAAAATAATGTGTCAATCATTCATTGATAAATCACAAATTAGACAGTAAATTTTGAATAACAAATCTTTATATATATATATATATAATTTATTTTTGTAATTATATAAAAAAAATATTTTTTTTTTTTTATAGGAAACCTCGTATGTATGCCAAGCCGAACGACGTTGAAAATAAATAAATTTGAAAAGAATATATAAAGATTGTTGTGTGTTCGATCTTCGTGTAGAAAGTTTTAGTAATGGATAATTGAAAATTGGTATGTCACTTCATCAGGAGGTTGACTTAACTAATTATATAGTAGACGAAATTGAGAAGCCAAGCCGTTCTTGCTTGATTCCCTTCAAAATTTTAATACATATATAATTTTTTTTTCAATCACACATTTTAATGTTGCCCGTAAATAAAAAAAACTTTCCTTCTCTTTTAAAAATACATTCTCCCAATTCAAAATACATTTTACCCAAAATTCTCGTTATAAAAATTGTCAAATAGGGGGCTAAGTGTTAAAAAGAGTCAAGTTCCGAAACAAGCATTTTGAATAGTACCATAATTAATTTTGTTACTATACAAAAGCTATAATACGAAAATTTGTTTGTTGAACTTATTAAAGGCAACTTACTTTTGGAAGAGTACTTCAATTAAATTATTTTACCATATCAAGGATATAATAGGAATCATTTGTTGGACAAATTTATGAAAAGTGAATTAAAGTAAAAATTCGATAAATGAATGTGTGACATCCCAAAACTTTAGCAAATTTACCATGCATATTCATACTTTTTATTGTGATGTACAATTCATGTAACGTAGTAAAAAGTTATGTTAATGATATTATAACTTTATGAAAATAATTGAATTAAGATCTTGATTAAAAACTATGTGGAAAGATTAAGGAGAATGAAGTAGCTATCCTACACATATTACATTGTCACTCTAAATACTAAAATGACAAATGACAAAACAGGGTAAAAGGTGGCAAAATAACGATTAGGGAAAAATAAATTAATTATTAATTCAATTCTCGATTACTACTTATTTAAATAAGGGAGAATGAGAGAAAAGGAAAACGCTCAACAATTTGAAAACCAAAGACAAGTAACTTCAAAACGAAAGCATTTTTATTGTCTTGCAACTTGAATGTGGGTAATCGTTGTTCATTTTTATTCCAAATATATTTATTACAATTATGTTTATTGAATTACTTCTTGCTTTTCAAATTGATTATAGATTTAAGATTATAATCATTGACATTGCATTGGATAATGCTTGATATTATTGATTATACACCAAATTGATGTAATTGACTAAGGAGCTTATATATTGTTATTCTCAACTTGGGCGTACGTGTAGAATTGAATATCTATAATTGGGAAACTGTCAGCTCCCAATCTTGACATTTAACTTTGAACTTATGCATAGAAATTTCAAAATTTTTAAAGCTTTGTGAAGAAAATTTTTTTTTTCGGCAATTTCTAGGGGTCGACCCTTAAGATTACAAAGTTTAACACATTTTGTTCTTTTTCAACTACAGTCATTGAAGGGTATGGAATGGGCAAGCAACACCAACTATGAGTAGTTGAATTTTTTATTTTATTTTTATTTTTTATATATACTTTGTTATATTGCAAAAAACATATTAAAGACTATTAGCTATACAAAAGTTGCACTACGTACTATACTTTGCAACCATAACCAACCTATTCATACTATTATTTATGCTACATATCAAAGACCACACAGACATTTATTCTCCAAAAAAATTATCTGAAAATAGATACATCGTAGTAGTGGCCCCGAAGTAGTCAATATAGTAATGAGATCTCAAAAAAAGGTGGAAGCCCATAAATTTTGAATACGCCATCCACATGTGAACTTCCTTGACATACATGAAGTATCAGCCATCTTCTGAAGTCATCCATTCATTAGAGGTAAAGTCAATGTATTCAATAATAATCATCTACAAAAAATATATGTATATTTAATTTTTTGGGCGGTATTGCATGCATGTCAAAGATGTTCTTACGTGGATGACGTATCCAATATTTTTGGGCTTCCGCCACTTTGTCAAATCCCATTACTATATTGACTACTTCGATGCCACTATTATGATATATCTATTTTCAGATAATTTTCTTAGAGAATAAATATGTCCGTGTGATATTTGATATGTAGTATAAATAATAGTACAAAATAGGTTGGTTATGGTTGTAAAGTATGGTACGTAGTGCAACTTTTGCTATTAGTCTCTAATATACTTTTTGCAATGTAACAAAGTACATATATATAAAAAAAAAAAAAAAAAAATTCAACTACTTATAGTTGGTGTTGCTTGCCTATTTCATACCTTTCAATGACTGTGGTTGAAAAAGAACAAAATGTGTTAAACTTGTAATTTTAAGGGTCGACCCTTACAAATTGTCAAAAGTTTTCTTTCTTCACAAAGTATTCAAAATTTTGAAATTTCTATGTATAAGTTCAAAGTTAAATGTCAAGATTGGGAGCTGATAGTTTCCCAATTACAGATATTCAATTCTACACATACGCGCAAGTTGAGAAATAACAATATATAAGCTCATTAGTCAATTGCATCAATTTGGTGTATAATCAATAATATCAAGCATTATTCAATGCAATGCCAATATCTAATGAAATGTCAATCTTAAATCTATAATCAATTTAAAAAGCAATAAATAATTCAATAAACATAATGTAATAAATATGTTTGGAATAAAAATGGACATAGATTACTTACCTTCAAGTTGTAATATAATAAAAGTGCTTTCTTTGTGAAGTTACTTGTCTTTGGTTTTCAAATTGTTGTGTGTTTTCTTTTTATCTCATTCTCCCCTATTTATAATAGTAACTGAGAATTGAATTAATAATTAATTTATTTTTCCCTAGTAATTGTTTTGCCACATTTTACCCTATTATACCATTTGTCATTTTAGTAGTTGGAGTGGCAAGGTTATATGTGTAGGGTAACCACCTCATTCCCCTTAATTTTTCCACATAGTTTTTAACCAAGATTTTAATTCAATTCATTTCATAAGGTTATAATATCATTAACATAACTTTTTACTATGTTACATGAAATGTACATCACAATAGAAAAGTATGAATATGCATAGTGAATTTGCTAAGTTTTGGGATGTCACAGAATGTTCGATAAATTAATAACGTCACTTAAATAATAAAATTTATCAACACCAATTCAGATCAATGTACTAAATATTAATTTTGTTATTTGCATAAGATAATACTGTTAATTAAAAATCTTTAAGCCCATGAAAATGTAATATAAAATAAATGGTTGAATACATAAAATTTGATAATGCATATTAGAGCAATTTTTATCTTTTTACTAGAATATTTCTATTTTGTTCGATTCAATTTTTTCGTCTAAAAATATACATCTAATATTGCTTACTTTTTCTTTGAACGAAAATCGAACTCAACTCATCCTCTGTTTTTTTTTTTTTTAATGAATATACATATTTATTGTAGTTTGCATTTTGTAGAAAGTAATTATTTAAGACTACGATACTCGAAAGTCTTTTTCTTGAGAATCTATTGATGAAAACAAGTATCATCTATTGTTGAATAATTTCTTTTAACTTTTATTAAATCATCATATTGTTTTCACTAGGATAATTTAATGCTTGACATTTATCACATTTTGTAGCATTAACTAAAATGACTCGATGTAATGGATAAATTAATAAATTATTAATAATTTTTTTCTTAATTATAATATTATTATTTTTTTGAGGTTTTACTGAACTTTGATGTAGTC